TTTTAACAGAAATGGGGGTCAGGAATGCTGGCTGTAGGGGTGCCTGGGTGGCTCAGAGGGTTAAGCCTCTGCCTTCCACTCGGGTCATGATCTCGGGGTCCTGGGATGGAGCCCCACATGCATCGGGCTCCCTGCTCAGCGGGGAGCCTGCTTCCCCTTCCCCCTCTGCCTGCCTCTCTGCCTACTTGTGATCTCTCTCTGTCACATAAATAAGTAGAATCTTTGGAAAAAAAAGAAAAAAGAATGCCAGTTCTTCAAGTTCAGGAACTACTCTGCCTCCAGGGCCGGTGAGGTGGGGGCCTGTGGCCTTTGATTCCCGTGGTAAGTTTCACTTCACGTAAACATTTTACCATCGTAGTCTTTGTAATGGTGCAGTTCGCGGGTATTAAGCACATTCACAGCGTTGTCAGCTGCCACCAGATCCGGATCCCGGACTCTCTTGTCTTCCCAAACTGATGCTCTGTCCCCACTAAACACGGACCCCAGCCAGCCCCTGGCGCCCACCATCCGCTCCGTCTCTAGGAGCCTAACGGCTCTGGGGCCTCGGGTAACCGGGATCCTCCTCCCATGTTTGTCCTTCTGGTTCTGGCCTCTTTCCCTTGGCACCGTGTCCTCTGCGTCCTTCCATGGGTGGCCAGTGTCGGAAGTCCCTTCCTTTTGCAGGTGGGTTCTATGTCGTTGTATGGATGGACCACACTTTGTTTACCCTTCATCCTGGACCCTGGGGCTGCTCCCCTCTTGGCTTCTGTGGACGGCGGAGGGGTGGAGCTGCTCTGTGTGGACAGTGTGTCCGTGGGGTGTGGACTGTTGGATGGATTGGGCATATCAGGCCCAATTTTCTAAGCCAGGCTCTGAACTTCTCAAGGGCCCACAAGAAGGTCTGACACCATAAGGTTTTTACCCCTGTTTAAGCAGCAAAAAGAACACAGCAAGTCTGACATTCTAAAAGTTCAAGTTGTGGGGCACCTGGGTGGCTCTGTCGTTAAGCATCTGCCTTCAGCTCAGGTCATGATCCAGGGTCCTGGGTTCGAGCCCCACATCGGACTCTGTTCAGCAGGGAGTTTGCCTCTCCCTCTCCCACTGCCCTGCTTGTGTTCCTTCTCTCGCTGTGTCTCTTTCTGGCAAATAAATAAATAGAAGTCTTTAAAAAAATAATGAAATAAAATGTTCAAGTTGTGATTAAAATTTAGCTTTTATGTACTTGCAATACTTATAGCATTAGGGTTGATAGGATATGGAAGCAGGACTTTCAAAATTCACATAATGACTATGGATTTGATGTTTATCTTCAAAAATGTTTATCCCACCCCATCATTGGTGTCATTTCTCCAGGACTTGTGCTTCAGGGCATCTGAGAGCTTTGACCTGCAGGGAGGGGGCGGAATGGGCTCCTGGACCCCTCCCACCGTGCCTGGAGCCCCTGGAAAACACTGGGGCCGTGGTCAGCAGAGTAGGATTCAGCTCAGCTCAGGGAGCCCATGCGCCTGTGCCCCACGAGAGGGGCGTTGGAGGGGATGGCCCTGCCCGCAGCTGGGTCTGCTCATCCAGCCTCCAGGATGGCAAGGGACCACCCACCGTGTCGTATGTGTTGCGAAGCCCTAGGGACTGGTGTAGACATCCCACATGAGTGGTTAGGGGGCATAGTTGGCGTCTCAGGCTGGTCCTGAGTTGGGGAACCGCATCGCCGGCCCAGGGCTGGTCATCCAGGGCCAGCTGACGGACTGCAGTGGGCCATTGCAGTCTGGGGGCCCGGGTTCCTCTCTCATGAGCAGTCTGGTCCAAAAAGGTAGGTTTGGCCTTGAACCGTGGAGACACTTGGCTACCTCATAAGGGCTATTTCTGTATGGTCTGACCTTGGGCACCTGGGGGTCTGCGAAGTGGTGGCAGGAGCCTCTGGGTGGGCGGCTTCAGTGGCCTGAGAGCAGCCGGGCGGAGGGCGCCCTGGAAGGCCGTTCTCAAGGCCGCCATGCGCTGTGCTGGGAACGTGCGGGACCCTCACCCTCATACCTCGCCGTCCGCCAGCGGGTGAGACCTCCGTGCAGACGTCGCCACTGTGTCTCTGGAGGGGAGGATATGTAACCACCAGTACCACGCACTGAAACAGACTGTGAAGTGCTTTTTTAGGGGTAAAAAGTGGAAGAGCGAGGGTGTGCGCGGCTTTCCGGTGCTCTGCCTCCCAGGCTGGCAGGGTTCGGTGACCGCAGATCAGATAGGCTCCCCTTGTATGTGTCTCTTCTGAAACCAGTTAGCAAAGCTTGTGAGTGAGAGGGTCCAGCCATGCTGCTGTGTGCGAGTCCCCCCCCAGAGAAAGTGAGTACAAAAGGACAGAAAGCCAAAACGCAGACTCTGGCCAAGTCCCCCACCACTGGCAGTTTTGTGATGCAAATGGTGAGTGGTGCCAACCTCCCCTTGCCTTTCCAAGATGTCTCCTGTTGCTGAGTTCGTCCTCACGGGGACTTGCATTTCATGTGAGCAGCAGGTCGTTTCTGGGTGTTTCTGTGAAGCTGAACGGGTGCTGAGAGGACACGTGCTGTCAGTGCTCTGGGGAAATGCCAGCGTCCGACGTCAGAGCAGCGGGCGCTCCTGTTGAGTGGGAGGGAAGCGCCATTGAGGCCCCTTCCCTGCCCAGCACCCCTGCCTGGCTTTGGCCCCAGCGGCTCCTCATGACCTTCCTGACTGGCCGCCCGCCCCCAACCAGGCGTCCCGGGGCAGCCCCGTGCCGCTCCGCTGTCCTCCACCATCCTGCTCGGCTACTGGGCCCTCCTCCTCCATCTGTGTCCCCTCCAGGCACACAGGCCACTGTGCGTCTGCCTTTCTCCCTGGGGGGATTCTGTGCTTCTGAATTCCTGGTGCCCGGCCGGACCAGACCCCCAGGGAGGACTTGTTTCTCAGTCTGGAATGCTCCCGGCCTCGGGACCCGAACAGTCTGAGAAGCTTAGCAAACAGGATTCCACGTGCTTTGCAGCACAAGTGTCCCCAGGAAGGAACAAAAGGTGAGGTGAGCACGGCTTCCCTAAATCATCTGGAAACCAGAGGCTCAGGGGACTGTGGGAGCCCACCCCTCACCTCACACACAGGGAAACAAGGTCCTAGAAAGGCTCAGCATCCCCCCAAGGCCCTGCAGCAAATAGAGGGAACCTGGGACGGGAACTCAAGGCAGATCTGAGTTTGAGGCTCGTGGGCCCTGGGTTGGGGGCTGGCGGTCCTGAGGGGAGCACTGTCAAGGGTGCAGGAAGACAAATTCGAGGAGAGGTTCTAGAACATGGACGGGGTGGGAGGTGGGGAGAGTGAGCAGGAAACAGGCCTGAGGCCAGAGGTTTGGGGTTGGGGGGGCACCTACTCCTGCACTCATGGGGCTCCTGCGCCCGTGGGGCTTTGGGACACAACGTGTTGGGATTTGAGGCCTCGGTGTCAGAATGCTCCCCAGAGGCTCTGACCTCTGGAAGACACCAGAAAGAACTGATGGACTCTGGGTGGTGCTATGGGATGATGGAATGTTCTGGAACTAGAGGACGTGGTCGCACAACATTGAGGACGCACTAGATCGGGGTGCCTGGGGGGCTCAGTCCGTTGAGCGCCTGACTCTTAGTTTCGGCTCTGGTCATGGTCTTAGGGTCGTCAGATGGAGCCCAGTTCAGCGGGCAGTCTGCTGGAGAGTTTCTCTCCCTCTGCTCCTTCCCCCACGTGGGGTCCCGTGGTCACTCTCTCTAAAATAAATATTTTAGGGGCGCCTGGGTGGCTCAGTGGGTTAAGTCTTTGCCTTTGTCTCAGGTCATGATCTCAGGGTCCTGGGCATGATCTCAGGGGCCTGTCTCTCTGCCTACTTCTGATCTCTGTCAAATAAATAAAATTTTTAAGATAAATCTTTTTAAAAAGTGCACTAAAGACCACTGAATTGTTTACTTTATTATTTAATTTTTAAAAAAAGAATGTATGTATTTATTTGAGAGAGAGCAAGAGAACATAAGTGGGGCAGCAGCAGGCAGAGGCAGAGAGAGAAGCAGACTCCCTGCTGAGCCAGGAACCCGACACGGGACTCGATCCCAGAACACTGAGATCATGACCTGAGCCGAAGGCAGATGCCCAACAAATTGAGCCACTGAGGCACCCCAAGAGCAAAGGGGCAAAGTTGGAGGCCAAGCTGTCAGCTTTATGAATGGCGAGCCAAATAACCCCGTTAGGGTGGTGGCAGCTCAGGCTAGATCCGAGGCCGACCTGGACCTCCTGGCCATCCCCCCTGGAACCAGGCCGGAAGAGTCACCTTTGCCCGGTGGCTGCTGCAGACGCTCCACCCCAGCGTGGGGACAGGGACGGCTGCCCCGGGTGTCCTGCCCGCCCTGGGGAGACAGGAGCTGGACTGAGCAGGGGGCTGAGCAGTGAGGGGCCCAGGGGAGCTCTCTAACAGCAGAGAGGCTCCTGTTTAACTCAGAGAGGCACAAGTGTTCTCCAGAGAAAGGGGTGTTGAGAATTCATTTTCCACTCAGTGATAAACAGAGATTTGCCATCAAGCTGTAGAAGATACTCGGAGGAACCTTAAATGAGTTTTAGGGACTGAAGGAAGCCAGTCTGGAAGGGCTGCATTTGTAGGGTTCCAACTCAGGACATTGGGGTAAAGGCACAAGGACAGGCCCAAAAAGATCCCCTCAAAGATCTGTGTCCGCTGGGGTTTCCTGGGCACGGAGGACCCGTGGCGCCCAGGGTTTTAGGGCAGTGGAAACACTGTTGTGCTAATCTGGTGGCATATGTCCAACCCCAGAATTTCCAGCACAAGCAGTGAGCCTTGGGGAAGCTGTGCACGTGGTTATAACAATGTATCAGTATCAGCTGACCCTCCCTGGCAACCCCGCCCACACCAGTTAATAAGAGAAGACAGGCGGGGGAAGCGGGGCTGTAGGGGAACTCTCTGTACTTGATGCACGATTTTTCTGGAAACCTAAAGCTGCTCTAGAAAATAATTATTAGTTATTAATTTAAAAAATTCTATTTTGCAAAAGCAAGATTGGGACGGAGGGCAGGAAGCGGGTGCCCACGCGGGTGCCGTGGGGGCAGGGATGGCCGTCTGGGGCATCGACAAACCACAAGCCCAATGGCGTGCGCCGGGCGTCTGCTGCTGCTGCTCTCGCTGCTGCCCGTGTGCATGGCCTGGAAGCCCAAGAGCTTGTTCCTGTTCAATAAGGTCAGCGGACACCCCGTGGCACTGCGCCCGCCGACGCGGCCTCATGCGGGCTCTCTGGGGCTCCCGGCTCCCTCCTTGCAGTGTCTGCCCCCACGAGTCTGGTCTGGGGGCTGGAAAGGAGGGTGCCTGGGAGCACATGCTCCTCCCCAGGCCCTGGGGCCCCCAGGATGGCTGATTCTGGTGCCCAGGACCCCAACACCAAATCCAGGCCAGATGGCAGCGCGGTGGGGGTGGGTTGGGGGCCGAGAAAGCGTCTCTGGTGGGAGGGGCGTGGGCAACGTGAGAGTGCCTGCGCTGCCTCTTCACCCCCCTAAGGCACCAGTCCCTCCATGTGCACAGCACCCACTGCATGGCGGGCAGCCCACTGGAGGCCGGGGCCGTAGGGCCCAACGTGAGGCAGGGGAGCTGGGGTCCTGGAGCCTGGCGCTGGGCCAAGGCCCAGAAGCGTCCTCAGTGCCCCAGGCCAGGAGTGAGCTTCCCCATCTGGCCTCTTCTCACCTGAAAAGCCACCTCGATGGGCTCCAGGCCCTGGTCCCCGAGTGCCTTCCGAGCTTCAGTTTTATTAAGATCTTGAAGACCAAACCAAACAGAAGTGCTCAGTGTGTGAACGCCCACGAGCAAGTCTCTAGTGTGGAGGCATTAGCCTCCCTGTGCTCCGGTCGGCAGGCCCTGCTGGGCGGCGCCCGCACTCAGCTGGCTCTGCCTAGCTGTGTGTGAGGCTCTGCCCTGCCCCTCCCTCCCCGGGGGGGTGGGGGGGGGGGGGGGGGGGGGGGGGGGCGCGGCTGGGGTCTCCTGGGAGACAGGGGTGGGGGGGAATCTCACCCCCAACAGTCCCCAGCCTCAGGAAGCCAGGCGGGAGTCAGCGTGTTTCCTTTAGTTTGAAAAATATACCTATTTTTCATAAAAAGTTGCTATTTATGTTAACATGGGACAGGGAGCCTATTTTTAAATAGGTTTCCGCATAAACATGTAAAACTTCTAAAGTCGTTAGCAAGAACCCACACTGACACCAGCTTTGGGCGCCTTAGTAAGTTTTTGAGTTTGCAGAGGAATTTTGAGACCAGAAGTTTGAAAACTTGGATCAAAGGCCTGGAGAGCAGGTGGCCTTCAGCGGGTGGATGGGACCCCGGCCACAGCTCCGGGCTGACTCTGTGACCCCCGAGGAGGCACCTGCCCTCTCTGAGCCTGTGCCTCGGTTTATCCTCCTGTCCACGTGGCTCACGACAGGCACGGACGACGTCAGCTCCCTTCCTCTCCCTGTCCTCTGGCTCCGCTCCCTCTCACCCCATGGGCCACCGAACCCGCCAGGTCTGGAATATTCCAGGAAACCTGAAGGGACGCAGAAAGAAGGGGTGGGTGTTCGGAGACAGGGAAGCCCTGGCGGGCAGCCGCGAGACGGTGCCCGGCTTTGCAGAGGACGGGAGAAGCGTGCGACGACCACTCCGAGTGCCAGAGCCGCTGCTGCGTCCCCAACAGCCTGAACGGGCAGGCCTTCTGCGCCGCCAAGACCATCTTCCTCAAGTGCCTGCGCTGGGGGAAGGTGCGAGCGGGCAGGGGGGCGGCGCGAGGGGCGGGGCGGGCAAGGCCGCCCGCGGCGGGGGAGGGGCCGGTGGGGAGCGGCGGGGGAGGGGCCGGTGGGGAGCGCCGGCGCTCCGTGTCCCCGCAGCCCAACAGGGACGCGTGCTCGGACCACGCCGAGTGCCGCAGCCACTGCTGCGTCACCAACAGCGCCAGTTCGCAGACGTTCTGCAGGCCCAGGGGCATCTTCCTGCAGTGCACGCCTTGGCGCAGGGTGAGGGGCGCGGCGCGGCGGGGCGCGGCGGGGCGCGGCGGGGCGCGGCGGGGCGCGGCGGGGCCGGAGCCGAGCCCGCTCTGCGTCCGCAGCCCAACGGCGCCCGCTGCGGCCACCACAGGGAGTGCCGGAGCCAGTGCTGCATCGCGCTCAGCGAGGTCAGCCGTCCCCGCTGCGTCCGCCGGAGCGGCCTCCTGGCGCAGTGCCTGCCCTTGGTGAGCGCCCGCCCCCGGGAGGGGCTTCCCGCGGCGCCCGAGGCCGGCGGCCCGCGAGGGGGGCCTGGTCTCCACACCCGCGGGGCGCCCCCTTCCGGGAGGGGCTGACGCCTGCGGCCTCCGGGTCCGTTTTCCTTAACCGGAAAGGAAAGAGGCCCTGGGGAGAACGGGCCCCGCGGCCAGGGTCCCAGGGGGAAGCAGGTGCCGCGCGCCTGGTGAAGGGCGGTTAGATGCGGGGCTGCGGGGTGAGCCCCGAGCGGGGGCAGCATCAGGATTCGCAACCGTGGGACTGAGGAAGGGCCGCCCAAGGGAGGACGATTCCGGAGCCGCGCTTTCCTTCCCTCCGCTCCTTTTGGACCCTTGTGATAGCGGAACAGTAACCCTAAAACCAGAAGGACAGAGGTCAGCCTCCTAGGGCACAAGACCTGCGCCCGTGGCAGACACAGTGGTGGGCGTGGAGACGAAGATGGGGGGACAGAGATGGAGGCAGAAATGGGGAGACAGAGATGGGGATGGAGATGGGAGATGGTGATGTGGGCAGAGGTGGAGGGTGGAGATGGGGGACAGAAATGGGGGGATGGAGATGGGGGTGTCAGAGACAGTGAAGGCATGAGGGGTGGGTACCAGAGACAAGGGAGTGGGAGAGAAGGATGGGGGCCACAGCAACTGGAGTCTGGCTCGGGGGTTGCGGAGAGAACAGGAGGGTGCCGTGTTGTGTGGGTGTTCAGGCACCTGGCTTGAGGCCGGGATTGGTAACTTCTTTCTGATCATAAAGGGGTCTCTGTCTCCCAGGTAAGGACCAAATTCTTGAGCACATAACCCTCGCTAGGTGCGGTGCCATCGGCTCCTCAAGGAGCCCTGGGCACAGCGGGTGCTCACAGAAACGTGTTCCCTGCTGGGCTCCCACGGCTGCCCTGGCCGGAGGCGAGCTGACTCCATCCGAGGGGGGCGGAGAGCTGTGAGGCACCTGTCTCCCCCGTGCATGTGGCACTTTCTCTCACTTGGTCCTTCAGTGACAGGGAGCTTGGCTCTCGGGTCCACGCTGCTCTCTCCGGGCTGTGAAAACCTGGAGGCGTCAGACGCGTCTGTCCCTTCTCCCAGCGGTGAGCTCCTGAGGCTGATGGTGCGCGTGTCCGAGGACAAACTGCGGCTCCCAGAGCCTTCCCATCAATAAACACCTGCTAACTCACCCGACGTGTTGTGTTGCATCCATTTTTGTTTTCAGACAACAAAGGTAAAAGCAATGTGGAGCCGTGGCATAGAGGCACCTGCTTGGGTCACGTACAAGGTTGCCTTCCTGAGGATGCGAGTCTAGTCAGAGATCAAGTCTCACTGGGAAGGGAAAGAGCCAGAGCTGGAGCATTTAAGACACAAGGCGGAGCCCCTCCCCATGCACAAGCGCCTCTTGTCCTTGCAAGTAGAGACAGTCGGTCAGGTGTTCCAAACTGAGAAGGGGCCGCAAGAGCCGGTGGGAGCTGAGGTCGCCCTGGAGGGGCTCCCACTTCCTTGGGTCACTTGTCCTTCCATCCTTCCTGCTCTGGCCCCAGGTCCGGTAGCATCTCTCGGAACAGGTGCCCCGGCTAATTAGAGCCTATCTGCACCAGCGGCTTCTTGCGGTTCCCAGAGCTCAGCACCTTAGTCACCCGCATGACGATCTTCTGGGGTTTCCATTACCCACACCTGCTGACACTAGGCTTCTTTTCTGGGCTTCATTAAAAATAATTTCCTCCTTTCTCTCTTCCTCCTCTCCATCCTCCCCTCCCACTTCCCTCCTCTTCCTCTCCCTTTCTCCTCCTCCTCTTTCTCCTCCTTACCTTGAGCTAAGATGATCCTTGCAGAGAAAGGAAAAGCCTTGCTTCTATCCCAGTAAGAACAGCTCAGGTAAGCCACAAATCATAGTTAAAAAACAAAAAACAAACAAAAAACAAAACAAAAGGAACAGATCTGAATGTAAAACATAAGATCTAAAGCATTTAGAAGAAAAATAGGGTAGGGGTGCGTGGGTGGCACAGTCCATTGAGTGTCTGACTCTTAGTTTCTGCTCAGGTCATGATCTCATGGTTGTGGGAAGAGCCCCCAAGATTTCTGTTGCTTTGCACTCACTAGGGAATCTGCTAGAGATTCTCTCTCTCCCTCTGCCCCTCCTCTCTCTCTCTAAAACAAAAAAATAAATCTTAAAAAAAAAAAATAGGCTGGGGCACCTGGGTGGCTCAGTGGTTTAAGCCTCTGCCTTTGGCTCCGGTTACGATCTCAGGATCCTGGGATCGAGCCCCGCATCGGGCTCTCTGCTCAGCGGGGAGCCTGCTTCCACCCCTCTCTCTCTGCCTGCCTCTCTGCCTTCTTGTGATCTCTGTCTGTCAAATAAATAAATAAAATTTTTTTAAAAAATAGGCTATTTTCTTGACCTTGGATTCAACAGAGTTCTTTGATGTGGCCACATGTCCCTCATAAGAGAAAAAGTAGATAAACCGCTAACATAAGAACTTCTGTTCTATGACAGACACTTTAAAAAAAAAAAGATTTTATTTTTTAATTGTTATGTAATCTCTACACCCAAGGTGGGGCTCAAACTCACAACCCCAAGGTCAAGCATCACATGCTCTACCCGCCAAGCCGGCCAGGAACCCCTAGGGTAGACACTGTTAAGAGAAAGAACACATCTAACGAAGGACTTGTATCCAGAATACATAAAAACTCTTGGAACTTAAGTTACTAAACAACCCAGTTAGGAAGGAGATGAAAGTCTTGCACGCATAGTTCACCAAGGAGACCAAGAGATGGTAGAGAAGCATGTGACGTGTTGGCTGTCACTGGCCAGCTGTCAGAGCAGACGGTGGAATGGCTGGGACACTCCTGTCTCCACTGCTTATGCCAGATTCATGGGGACACCCACATCCCTGACCCAAGTCACTTTTCCACACCTGTATTTCTAGCACCTAAACATAGTTCCTAAATTGTTATCATTCACCCAAAAGACAAGTTCCCTTTTAAGATTTGGAAGAGATTTCTGTCTTTTTTTTTTTTTAAACATTTTATTTATTTATTTGACAGAGAGAGATCACAAGTAGGCAGAGAGGCAGGCAGAGAGAGAGGAGGAAGCAGGCTCTCCACGGAGCAGAGAGCCGGATGCGGGGCTTGATCCCAGGACCCTGGGATCATGACCTGAGCCGAAGGCAGAGGCTTTAACCCACTGAGCCACCCAGGCGCCCCGAGATTTCTGTCTTTATTTTTATTTTTTTTTAATTAAAGGAAATACCATTTTTTAAAAAAAGATTTCATTTGAGAGAGCATGAGCAGAGAGGGGGGAAGCAGACTCTCCACTGAGCAGGGATCCCCACGTGGGGCTCAATCTCAGGACCCCGAGATCATGACCTGAGCCAAAGTCAGACGCTTCACCGACTGAGTCACCCAGGCGCCCCAAGATTTCTGTTGCAGCTCAGAACGATCCGGGAGCTCAGGCCCAAGGGGAAGGCCTGGACAGGGGCCCTTAGGTAGAGACCAGGCCTCTGAGCAGGCTTCTGGGGGAGCAGGTCTGCTGCCAACACCCCCGACCCCGGGGAACACAGGCAAGGTGGCCATGCAGCCATCTTGGCGCAGGGGCAGTTGGAGACCCACAGACCGTGGGCCTAGTGCGCGTGCACAAGGTGCCGCAGGCGGGGCCCGGCCGGGACCTAAAGGGGCAGCTGGTGCGGAACCGGGGCCTGGGAGCTGGCGCTCAGAGGCGCTTGGCGTCGACAGATCCAAGCCGCATGCGGCCCCTGAAGCCCGGGCTGGACAATCCGCACTGCTGGGCACCGAGGGTCCACGGGGATGACCGGGTTGCCCTCCAGGGGGACATCTGGGAGCCTCCTTTGCTGGAGAGGCCCGGGACCCCGGCGGCAGGCAGTCCATGGTGCTGGGGGGGGGGGTTCAATGTACCGCCTCAAGGACCCTCCCAGGGTGGGGGTCCTTCCACTCTGAGGCCGGTCAGGTGCTCTGGGGCGGACTGGAGCTCCACAGGGCCGCCAGGTGGGCTGGAGAGGGGCAGAGGGTGCAGTGCAGGCCGCGCAGGGGGAGCGGGGGCGGGGGGGGGGGGGGGGGGGGGCGGGGCGGGGGGGGGAGGGGGGGGGGGCACAGGGGGAGGCTGTCTGCGGTTCTGGAATCCGCCCCATCCAAGCCCGATGACACGAGGCACCTATGGCCCCTGAAGGCCCATCTGGACGCAGGTGCACTGACTTTCCAGCATGAGTGGCCGCTGGCCGGCCGGTGACCCCGCCGCAAACGACCCCGGGGGCCGTGGAGGCCGGGGAAGCCGGGACCCGTCCGGCGGACAGGCCGAGCCGAGAAGGGCGTCGCCGCCTGCCCGCGGTCAGCTCGGACAGTCTCGGGCCCGGGAGGCTCTGCGGCTGCGTCTGGAAGCGCCGAGGCCCACGCGCGGACACACGCCCGCTTCCCCGCACAGGTGGGCGCGTGCCTAGTGCGCATGCGTGAGCCGCGCAGGTGCGGGGAGCCCGGGACTCCGAAGAGGGCGAGCGCGCAGGGCGGCTGGAGGAGGCGAGCGGCCACCGGGTCCGGTCCTCCGCCTGATTCCCGGCCCCAGGCGACAGTCCTGTGCCTGCTGGAGGTAAGGCTGGAGGAGCGGGGTCTGCCTTGGTCACCGGGGCGGTGTCGGGGTGTCGGGGCGTCGGGGGGAGGCTGGCGGGGTGTTTCCCAGCAGCAGACACCTGGGAGCCTGGACGCCTGGTCGCCCCGGAGCCCTCCGGGCAGGCAGCCGGTTGCAGGGGCGCGGACTGCCGTCGCGAGCTGTCCCCTGACCAAGGGCTGGGGGTGCCTGTTTTATCCCGGAGGCCGCTGGGGTGAGTCCGGCGACCCCGAATCCCCACGGGCTCCCAGGCCCTCGGCTGGCTGGCGCGGGGCTCCCTGGGCGAGCTCCAGCCACTCGGGTGCCTGGAGCCCAGGATCTGGTGCGGGCGGGGGACGGGGGCGGGAGTGGCCTGGGGCGGTCGGTGCTTCGGCCTGTTCCCGAGCGCGAGCGCACACAAACGCGGGTGTTCCCCCTGCAGGCAGAGTGGACGGGTCTGGAAGCCTCGCGAGGACGGACTCCGGCGACCTCGGAGGCGGCATGAGAGGCCCCTGGAGCCGGGGCCTTGCGCACAGTGAGTGCACCTGGGCCGGACTCGCCCGTGGCCTGGGGCTGCCTCCACGGTGGACACAAGGCAGAGGGGCTGGAGACAGACCGGGGGCTCCCGGGACAGTGACGGGGTGAGTTCCCGGCGGGCGTGAGCCCCCCAGGTCAGGGGAGCCCGGGGCCTGGAACAGGGGCGGTAGCAGACCCGTGTGCCCCTGCCTCTGCCCAAGTCCAAGCCCAAACCCACATAGATGCACCTGTGTCCCCCGGAGGTCTGTGGAGTTTCGGGGCGGGAACGCTCCTGCCACGGTCTGTGTCATCCTGGCTTTAATGTTAATGATACACTGAGCAGGTATCTCCCACAAACAATGGTTTTTAGTTTATC